GGAAGTCAGCTGAGCCCCCGGAGGTGTGAGGTGAACCACAAGGTGGCGCTAACACGTCTAACTGCAAAGGCTGCAAAAGTGTGGGTGCCTCAACAGACTGAGCACAGCCAGCACTGTGGAGGACGGCCGGCAGGCGATGCCACCCTCTCCCTCCTCCCTCTGCAGCCACAGAGGTGCTTCCTGAGGTGTGTGATCAGCGGGGACACCCTGGGAACCAGGGCGCTCGCGCTCTCTGAAGGTCCCCAACCCTAACTCCACCTGCACAGTCCCCTGGGCGGTGCACGAGCCCATCCACGAGCTCCAGGGACGGAGCGGGGTCCTCCGAGGGAAGGGAGCTGCAGGGCGTCCCCCCCCGTCTGTGGTCACCTCACTCACGCCTTATGCAGGTGTCCACGGCAGCCGTGCTGGTGACCGGCCAGCACCGGGTGACAGGAACTGTGGGCACAGAAGCAGGGGCTGTTCCTGTGCACCGGGACCCCCAGCCGGAGGTGCCGTGGCTGCTCACCGGTGCACACGCCGTGCTGGGCAGTTCCTGCTGCAGTGATGAAATGACCTGCACTGGTGACTGTAAATAACACAGATGTTTCCCTCACAGTTCGGGCGAACTGGGAACCCAAGGCCGAGACGCTGGGGCCTGTGTTCGCCATCTGGGCCCAACTGCCCACATGGTGGTGAGGGGTGTTGACGCCCACTCTCATTCCCTGCGTAGGGTGTGAATCCACTTACCCATTTATGAGAGTGGGGCGCTCAGGCCCAGCCACACCCCAACACCCCACCCTGATCCCGCGCCCCTGAGTACCAGCCTCCCACTGCCCCTCAGAGCCTCGGTTCCAATGGGAGCCTGGGAGGGGCACCGGGAGACCACAGTGTGCTTCGGCATGAAGGACCTCAGAGCTCGGGGCTCAGCAAGAGGCCGAGGAGAGAAAAAGAAATGCAAACCACGGAGAGGCAGAGACGGCGGGGGACCTGCAGGGCTCGGGGCCCAGTGCTCTGCATGCGTCAACCACTCCTTTGTGCCATGCTTCCAGGGCGAGTGTCCACACGGGACCGGCGTCCATCAGCAGAGGGAGACCACAGTGTGGGTTACGCCACGAGATCCAGGGGGCAGCTGGACGGACGATGTTAGCTCTGCTTTTTCAACTTCTAGGAATACCAGGAAACCTTCATGTTAAAAACCAGAGAGGTGACACAGAGTCCAGAACAGAAGCCGAAGGGACAGTGTCTACTTCTGTCCTGCCCGGCTGTGTGACCCGGCGCGAGTGACAGGGCAGGTGGCAACCTGCTGGCCCCATTTTTCCTCATCGGTAAAAAGCACCTGATGATCACACAGAGCTGGACTTGCGTCCATCAAACTAGGTTGCCCCAGGACTCAGTGGGGGACAGAGGTGGTGGCCACTTCTGGGCAGCAGCGGCGGCCCGCAGGACAGAGCCCAGCTGGCTCTTCTGACAGACCCGGAGAGGTTAAGAAGTGTAACCGGGGTCACCCGGCTGGAGCCAGGGCTGCAGGCAGCATGAAAGCTGCCTTCCTAGGACCCTGCAGCGGTTTGTGCAAACATTCCGGGCTCGGCTCCTGCCCAGTAGGGAAGCCCAGCCCGGCCCCGGGTGTGTTTTTAGCGGGCTGGAGATGCGCTCTCGGCGCACCTGGCCTGTTTCACAGCTGAGGCTTCGAGTCCCGGCCACCGCTGACTTGTTAGTACATTCGTTTGTTCGTTGTAGGATCCGGCAAGATCTCTGAGCAGCAACTTCCTCCAGGCTGGAGACTTTGCTAAGTACGTTTTACTCAAGGGACCAGGATGTCACCTTGAGGAGAGGTGTTCACCCTGAAGAGGCGCATGCTGGAGGTCCTGCCCGTGCACGCCCACACCAGGGAGGAGCTGGAGGCTCCAGGGGCTCTCATATCTGGGAGAAATGCCACATAACAGGGTCCACTGTGAGGCAGCCACGGGGGCCAGGGGATTCTACACGTGGCCCGGGCACCCGCAGACAGCTTCAGGGCCCCCAGGACCAAAGACGTTAGCAGAAGAGTTCAGGACCTCCCGCATGGATCCAACATCATCCTCCATCTCTTGCTAACACATCTGGACTTAGAGTCTGTGGAACTCTGTTATTTTATTTTTCTAGTAATTCTGAACGCTGTCACTGTGGCTGTGCGGTCCACACTCTTGGCAGTGGCCCCCACCAGCGCGCCCGAGGCCCGGGCTGCCCGTCAGCCCTTTCCCAGCCACAGCTGAAGGACAGGATGGGAGGAGCTGGACCTCCCACGTGTCCTGAGGGTGTGGGCGATGCGGGGACGCCCTGAAGCCCTGTGTCCCCCACTTTCCCCTGTAGGCTCCCCTCCCACACCCCGCATCAGCACGGCCCTAGCCGAGGCTCGGGTTTTCATCCTGTCCAGCTCGGACCATCTCCCCAACTCCCCAGTGTGTCACCCACTTGGCCACGGGCCTCGGGACCAACCTGCCACCTCCTGCAGGGGAAGAAAAACACTAGCGAGGACTTTCCTCCTGCCCTGCCCGCCAGGCAGCGACTGAGAGGCCAGGGACGAGGGGGACAGGAGAAGGTCCCCTCCCTCCGCAGGCCCCCAGCCTGTGTGTCCCTAGCTGCTTCGGCAGTGGGCATTGCCTCACCTGGCCCTGCAGCCGGACGCAGGGACAGAGAAGGACCTGAATCTCAAGCCCAGTGCAACACGGAGGGACTGGACCCAGGGTCCCCGTCCATCGCCCCGCGGCCCCCAAGGGTGGCGCAGTCCACACTAACCACGCAGCCGTGTGGCCTGGCTTTAGCTCTGGGTAACGGAATCGTCCACACCTGACTCCTGGCCCCGGCTGTTCTGCACGGTAAACCCCGTTCTCTTCTGCAGCATCCAGCACATTCCTGTGTGTCCTGTTCAGTGACACAAAAACGTCTTTTTGTGGACTATAGGGAGAGACGGGAAAAGTACTTGGCAATTCCCCGCGGTCCTGCCCAAGAGTAGCCACACCCACTCCTGCTGACCACGGTCCCTAGAGGTGGCCCGGCTCTGTAATGCTGCGTTTTGTTCTTGAGACACACCCACGCCCTGTCGGTGCCCGCCCCACCCAGCACCACCACCTGTGGGAGCAAAGCACAGCCACCTCCCCACACGGGGAGTGGACGTCCAGTGGTCAGCGCCCATTGGGCCCCAGGGGGCCAAGGTGAGGACCTCCTGGGTGCAGAGATGCAGGGATGCGTTGTGGAAGCTCATGTGGATTCTTCAGGGGCAAGAATGCATCAAAGCCACCCACCCGTCTGATGCCCGGTCTTAGCGAGCGTGTCTTGGGGCAGAGGGAGGGCGGGGGTGCCACGGCCGGCCAGCAGGGGGCACTGTTGCCCTTGGCATTCCCAGCGACCGCGGGTCCAGGAGTGGGGAGGGGGTGTGGTCTGGCTGGTGACCCGAGAACACTGGAGCTGGCAGGAGCCCCCGACAGGCCATCGGTGGTGGTAAAAGGTGGGCACAGGAGACAGTTGGGCAGGAAGGACCCCACGTCCTTGCACCCTCCACACCCCAGATGCTGTCTTCCAGGGCCTGGCCACCAGGAGAGGAAAGCAGGGCGCAGGGGGAGAGCCTTGCTGCCCCCCAGGACCTGGCGCCATGACTCCAGGGGGGCAAAAACACACACACACACACACACACACACACACACACACACACACACACACTGCCCCCAGCCAGGCCCCGCCCCCACGGCCCAGCCAGGCCCCGCCCCCACGGCCCAGCCAGGCCCCGCCCCCACGGCCCAGCCAAGCCCCGCCCCCACGGCCCAGCCAGGCCCCGCCCCCACGGCCCAGCCAAGCCCCGCCCCCACGGCCCAGCCAGGCCCTGCCCTTGGACTTTGAAGGGCAGCGTGAGACCAAAAGTGAAAATGAAAGCGCCGGCAGCAAGGACAGCTGCCCCGGACAGTGTCCATCCTGATAAGCGCTGAGCCACCCAGCCCTGGACAGCGGGGCTCAGAGGTCAGGGACCGCCCTGCTGGGCTCCTCCCCTGGGCTGAGCCTTGTCCTGTGCTGGGCCACCAGACCAGAGCCCTGCACCCCGGCCAGGCTCAGCCCCACCGAGAGCCTCTCCTTTGGGGTGTGTGCATGTGCGCGCTCCTAGGGACAGAAGCCAGGCCCTCCCGCTGCGTTCTACCCCAGCCCTTAGTTTCTTTAATTTTTAGACAGAGTCTCACTGAGTTGCCCGGCTAAGTTGCAACTTGCGACCCTCCTGCCTCAGCCTCCCTGGCTACTTCTTCAGTCATAAAACCCATGGAGAATTGAGCACATGTGTCTCTTTCGAGTCCCGGGGATCTGATGTCCTCTGTCACCTCTCCCGCTGTGTGCTTACAGCAGCTTTTAGCAGATGGGTTTCGGGACCTGGCAGGAATGGCACAGGGTACCCGGGGGATGCTTGCCTAAAGGACACATCAGTGTCACCACACCACGCAGAAGGGGGGCTCCTGACCTAGCCTGGGTCTGGGACACACTGCACCCTGGGCAGGCCCGGGGCTGCCCACGCTCAGCGACCGCCTCACAGCTGCCTGGGCACCCTGGTGTGGGAGAAGCTTGCAGAAGAGAAAGGTTTGCCCCAGTGGCCCACACGGGCTCCCTGAGGGCGACACCCTGAAACTGCCCACCCAGCAGAAGCGGGGCGCTGTCCCCCAAAGAACAGGGTTCCTGGGCAGCTCGGCATCTTGCGACAAACATTTGGCTTTCCTCCCCACGTTTTTCTGTGTTTGTTTCTTTCTCATCCTGGTTTCTGTCCTTTTTCCTTTCTGACTTTCATTCTCCAAAGTCAGCCCGCACTGCACTTGGACCTGGCGCTGTCACTGGCTGGCGGGGGCGCCGGCCTCCTCCAACCCAAAGGTCAAGGAGAAAAGTTCCCAGAATCCGTGCAGTGACGGATGATGGCCCTTGTGCGGTCTCGTCTGCTCAGGGTATTTCCAAGGCGTTCACGGCCTCGGAGACAAGTTCTAGAACATTCCCCCACCCCAGGGTGGAAAGGCTGGCTAAGTGATGGCGCTGGGGCCCTCAGGAGCCTCTGCCCCATCTGAGAGTGGCCAGGCACTTTGCCCACAGCTGGTGTCTCTGCAGGACAGAGTGAGAGCTGAGGGGCGGGCGCCCCCTTCGAGCACAGGGACGCGGTGTCCCTCGTCCACATCTCAAGAGCATCGTCCAGGATGCGAGGTCCCTGGGATGGTGCCAGGCAGAAGCCCCCACTTCCTGTGCAGGCGCCCTGGCCACTGAGGGAGGAGCAGGGCGCTCAGGAGACGCCCTCTCCCCAGCCATCGGGCTGGTCCCTCCCTCTCTCTGGGCCTGTCTCCCCTCCACAAAATGACCATCTCCACTAGAACGGTGGCAGACACCCGGGATTCGTAGGTGCTCCGTCTCTACACCTGCCCGTGGAGTCCTCACAAGAGGCCTTTTCAGGAAGGTAAACCAAGTCAGGACCCCAGGGCAGCCGAGAGCAGCGCAGGGTGGAACGGGGCCTCTGACGCCAGGGCCCAGGGCCCCACTCACCCAGCCGCCCCTTGCAGGCGGGCAGCCCTGCCGGCCAGCCTCGTGTGCTGCTCTGCCCTGCAGCAGAAGGACATGCGGTTGGGGACAGAGGAGCAGACATCACACACCTGGGAGCAGGTGACAGGAAATGGAGGCCAAAGCCACTTCCTGCAATGACAGGGCCATGGCCGCCAGCAGATCCCTCGGGTCCACCTGCAGACATGACCACAGGGCCACCGTGGGCCTGGACTCCAGGCTAAGGCCCAGCTCTGGGCCACCAGCCCCCTCTGATTGGGTGACCATAACAGCCACATGTAAGAATGCCACCTGCCGATTCTTTAGTGCTCACAGCCGTGTAAGGACTGCAGTCTGTCACTGTGCCTCTGTCCCCATGGGGAGGCCTGGGGGCGTGCTGGGCCCCAGAAGCAGATGCCCCAAGCCGGGTGATAATGTTCCGACTGTTACACCTGGACTATGTGACATGCCCCGGCCTGCGTGCCACTGCAGGATGCACAATGGAGAGACTCAGGGACCTGAGGACACAGAGCCAGGCCCGTGCTGGGCACACAGCACCCCAGCCCAGAGCACGGGCCTGCAGACGGCTGCCTCCTGCTGCCCCAGATGGGCCCTAGACCTGCTCAGCGGCCACCGTGCTTCTAGGTGAAGGCCTCCCATGTGCCCAGCCTCAGTGCTGCCTCCCAGGAGTTAGGGACAGTGGACAGAGGTCTCAGGGCCCCGTGAAGTCCTCCCCTGCCCCTGCCTCACACCTCGGGCCTGGAGAGGAGCCCAGCCACAGGGCACGACCCGCTTTCCAGGCAAGTGTGGACCTCCAGCTGAGCACCCTCTGTGGAACTGGGATGGGAGCTGCCCAGGCCCAGTATCTCCATCTTTGCCCAGGGCTGGGCAACCTCAGGCAAACAGCTCCGCCCCTCAGGACTTAGGCCTCGGCCTCTGAACAGTGAGGCTTTCAGTGGGCTGGCATCTCCCAGGGGTTTGGGATCCTCTGAGGGTCATGGAAAGGGCCAGCACCTGGGCACCACTCTGTGAATTATTATGTCACCAGGCCAGGACCCATCCAGGGGGCCTGGGGACTCGAGACTCCCCCACTTCTCCTTGGAGAAGCCCCCCAGAGGCAGCCAGGACCTTGGCCCCAGGAGCGCCTGTGGCAGACCACATTTGGCCACCACCCCCACCCCGGCCAGCCCAGCGGCCGCCTCCCCAGGCACCATCCTATTGCTCAACCCCAGGACCGCGGGGTCCTAACGGTCGGGACCCGGCTGGCGGCACCCAGGGCCTCGCCACGCAGCCTCGTGGGCCGCAGGCTTTTAATATTTTAGAGAAGTTGGGTCATGCCAAGTTCCCCTCCTTTTGGATTCTTCTGCTGCTGCTGCTCCCGCCCTGGTCCTGGCCGAGGCCCTGATAGCTTCTGGGGTTGGGGTCCTTGCGGGGCCACAGAGGACACAGCACTGAGTCACCCGTGACTCCAGCCGCCTCTGTGGCCTGTCCAGCCCTGGCCCAGTCCCTCGCCCACCAGGCTCCGCAGCTGTGCCCCAGCCGCGCCCTGCGTCCGGTTTCCTTTCCTTGATCGCCGCTGTTATTTCTTACGGGAGCGGTCAGGCCACCAGCTGCTCTCTGTCCCTGACCTTTCTCTGTGACAAGTCTCTGTGACGCATCTGCGTGCTCCTGAGACCCCGACAGGTCACAGTCCAGAGTCAGCTCTCTGCCCACAGGACCACAGAGAGGCAGGGAGGTCAGGGGCAGCAGCCAGGGCAGGGCGGACACTCAGCACTCGGCCGCCCACGGTCACAGCTCAGAGGGCGCTGTGGGCAGGCCTCCCCCCTCGGGCAGGAGACCCTCCTCTCCATCCTCCACAGCTGCACCGCAGGACTGTAAATGTACCCTCTCCCGGGTCCCATCATCTAAAGGGAGGTGCGGGCAGCCCCGGCAGAGGCGTGGCCTGGCCTCTCCAGCTTCTGCAGGGCTGTGACCTGGGCTTCCTCCGCCTTCAAAGCCAGCAGCCCAGCTCCCTCCAGCGCCGCTCCTGCTCTGCCTCAGTCTGCCAGCTCCTGCTCTAACTCTGACCTGCTGCCTCCCCTCCGAGGACACTGATGGCAGCAGGCTCGGGACAATCCACAGCAACCAGCCGCCCGAGCTCCTGTGTTTAATCACACCTGGAGAGTCGGGGGTCACAGTCACAGGGTTTGGAGATTAGATGGGGACTTTAGTGAGGAGGCGCCATCCTGTCCAAAACCTGACCTCAGGGAAGTTTGTCCTCCAGGAAGCTCCCCTCTTCTGCAAAACGCGGACAGTGTGATGGTGTCGGTGACAGTGGTGGTGATGGTGATGGTGGTGATGATGGTGGTGATGGTGATGGTGGTGGTGATGGTGGTGATGGTGATGGTGGTGATGATGGTGATGGTGATGGTGGTGATGGTGGTGGTGGTGATGGTGATGGTGGTGGTGGTGGTGGTGATGGTGGTGATGGTGATGGTGGTGATGGTGGTGGTGGTGGTGATGGTGATGGTGATGGTGATGGTGGTGATGGTGGTGGTGATTGTGGTGGTGATGGTGGTGATGGTGATGGTGGTGGTGGTGGTGATGGTGATGGTGGTGATGGTGGTGGTGGTGATGGTGGTGGTGGTGATGGTGATGGTGATGGTGGTGGTGGTGATGGTGGTGGTGGTGATGGTGGTGGTGGTGGTGGTGGTGATGATGGTGGTGGTGGTGGTAATGGTGGTGGTAATGGTGGTGATAGTGATGGTGGTGATGGTGGTTGTGATGGTGATGGTGGTGATGGTGGTGGTGGTGATGGTGGTGGTGGTGATGGTGGTGGTGGTGATGGTGGTGGTGGTGGTGATGGTGGTGGTGGTGGTGGTGATGGTGGTGGTGGTGGTGATGGTGGTGGTGGTGGTGGTGATGGTGGTGGTGGTGATGGTGGTGGTGATGGTGATGGTGATGGTGATGGTGGTGGTGGTGGTGGTGATGATGGTGGTGGTGATCGTGGTGATGGTGATGATGGTGGTGATAGTGATGGTGGTGGTGGTGGTGGTGATGGTGGTGGTGATGGTGATGGTGATGGTGGTGGTGGTGATGGTGGTGGTGATGGTGGTGATGGTGGTGGTGATGGTGGTGATGGTGGTGGTGGTGATGGTGGTAGTGATGGCGATGGTGGTGATGGTGGTGGTGATGGTGGTGGTGATGGTGATGGTGATGGTGGTGGTGGTGATGGTGGTGGTGATGGTGGTGATGGTGGTGGTGATGGTGGTGGTGGTGGTGGTTGTGATGCTGGTGGTGGTGATGGTGGTGGTGGTGATGGTGGTGGTGATGGTGATGGTGATGGTGGTGGTGGTGGTGGTGATGATGGTGGTGGTGATCGTGGTGATGGTGATGATGGTGGTGATAGTGATGGTGGTGGTGGTGATGGTGGTGGTGATGGTGATGGTGATGGTGGTGGTGGTGGTGATGATGGTGGTGGTGATGGTGGTGGTGATGGTGATGGTGATGGTGGTGGTGGTGATGGTGGTGGTGATCGTGGTGGTGATGGTGGTGATGGCGATGGTGGTGATGGTGGTGGTGTTGGTGGTGATGATGGTGATGGTGGTGATGGTGGTGGTGTTGGTGGTGATGATGGTGATGATGGAGATGGTGGTGATGGTGGTGGTGATTGTGGTGATGGTGATGATGGTGGTGGTGATGGTGGTGATGGTGATGGTGATGATGGTTGTGGTGATCGTGGTGATGGTGATGATGGTGGTGGTGGTGGTAATGGTGGTGATAATGATGGTGGTGGTGGTGGTGGTAATGGTGGTGGTAATGGTGGTGATAGTGATGGTGGTTGTGATGATGGTGGTTGTGATGGTGGTGGTGGTGATGGTGGTGATGGTGGTGGTGGTGATGGTGGTAGTGATCATGGTGATGGTGATGATGGTGGTGATAGTGATGGTGGTGGTGGTGGTGGTGATGGTGGTGGTGATGGTGGTGGTGATGGTGATGGTGATGGTGGTGGTGGTGATGGTGGTGGTGATGGTGGTGGTGATGGTGATGGTGGTGATGGTGGTGGTGATGGTGGTGGTGATGGTGGTGGTGATGGTGATGGTGGTGATGGTGGTGGTGATGGTGATGGTGATGGTGGTGATGGTGGTGGTGATCGTGGTGGTGATGGTGGTGATGGCGATGGTGGTGATGGTGGTGGTGTTGGTGGTGATGATGGTGATGATGGTGATGGTGGTGATGGTGGTGGTGTTGGTGGTGATGATGGTGATGATGGTGATGGTGGTGATGGTGGTGGTGATGGTGGTGATGGTGATGGTGGTGGTGGTGATGGTGGTGATGGTGATGGTGATGGTGGTAGTGGTGGTGATGGTGGTGGTAGTGGTGATGATGGTGGTGGTGATGGTGATGGTGGTGATGGTGGTGATGGTGGTGATGGTGGTGATAGTGATGGTGGTGGTGGTGGTGATGGTGGTGATGGTGATGGTGATGGTGGTGGTGGTGGTGGTGATGATGGTGGTGGTGATCGTGGTGATGGTGATGATGGTGGTGATAGTGATGGTGGTGGTGGTGGTGGTGATGGTGGTGGTGATGGTGATGGTGATGGTGGTGGTGGTGATGGTGGTGGTGATGGTGGTGATGGTGGTGGTGATGGTGGTGATGGTGGTGGTGGTGATGGTGGTAGTGATGGCGATGGTGGTGATGGTGGTGGTGATGGTGGTGGTGATGGTGATGGTGATGGTGGTGGTGGTGATGGTGGTGGTGATGGTGGTGATGGTGGTGGTGATGGTGGTGGTGGTGGTGGTTGTGATGCTGGTGGTGGTGATGGTGGTGGTGGTGATGGTGGTGGTGATGGTGATGGTGATGGTGGTGGTGGTGGTGGTGATGATGGTGGTGGTGATCGTGGTGATGGTGATGATGGTGGTGATAGTGATGGTGGTGGTGGTGATGGTGGTGGTGATGGTGATGGTGATGGTGGTGGTGGTGGTGATGATGGTGGTGGTGATGGTGGTGGTGATGGTGATGGTGATGGTGGTGGTGGTGATGGTGGTGGCGATCGTGGTGGTGATGGTGGTGATGGCGATGGTGGTGATGGTGGTGGTGTTGGTGGTGATGATGGTGATGGTGGTGATGGTGGTGGTGTTGGTGGTGATGATGGTGATGATGGAGATGGTGGTGATGGTGGTGGTGATTGTGGTGATGGTGATGATGGTGGTGGTGATGGTGGTGATGCTGATGGTGATGATGGTTGTGGTGATCGTGGTGATGGTGATGATGGTGGTGGTGGTGGTAATGGTGGTGATAATGATGGTGGTGGTGGTGGTGGTAATGGTGGTGGTAATGGTGGTGATAGTGATGGTGGTTGTGATGATGGTGGTTGTGATGGTGGTGGTGGTGATGGTGGTGATGGTGGTGGTGGTGATGGTGGTAGTGATCATGGTGATGGTGATGATGGTGGTGATAGTGATGGTGGTGGTGGTGGTGGTGATGGTGGTGGTGATGGTGGTGGTGATGGTGATGGTGATGGTGGTGGTGGTGATGGTGGTGGTGATGGTGGTGGTGATGGTGATGGTGGTGATGGTGGTGGTGATGGTGGTGGTGATGGTGGTGGTGATGGTGATGGTGGTGATGGTGGTGGTGATGGTGATGGTGATGGTGGTGATGGTGGTGGTGATCGTGGTGGTGATGGTGGTGATGGCGATGGTGGTGATGGTGGTGGTGTTGGTGGTGATGATGGTGATGATGGTGATGGTGGTGATGGTGGTGGTGTTGGTGGTGATGATGGTGATGATGGTGATGGTGGTGATGGTGGTGGTGATGGTGGTGATGGTGATGGTGGTGGTGGTGATGGTGGTGATGGTGATGGTGATGGTGGTAGTGGTGGTGATGGTGGTGGTAGTGGTGATGATGGTGGTGGTGATGGTGATGGTGGTGATGGTGGTGATGGTGGTGATGGTGGTGATGGTGGTGGTGATGGTGGTGATGGTGGTAGTGGTGATGGTGGTGGTGATGGTGATGGTGGTGATGGTGGTGGTGATGGTGGTGGTGATGGTGGTGGTGATGGTGATGGTGGTGATGGTGGTGGTGATGGTGATGGTGATGGTGGTGATGGTGGTGGTGATCGTGGTGGTGATGGTGGTGATGGCGATGGTGGTGATGGTGGTGGTGTTGGTGGTGATGATGGTGATGATGGTGATGGTGGTGATGGTGGTGGTGTTGGTGGTGATGATGGTGATGATGGTGATGGTGGTGATGGTGGTGGTGATGGTGGTGATGGTGATGGTGGTGGTGGTGATGGTGGTGATGGTGATGGTGATGGTGGTAGTGGTGGTGATGGTGGTGGTAGTGGTGATGATGGTGGTGGTGATGGTGATGGTGCTGATGGTGGTGATGGTGGTGATGGTGGTGATAGTGATGGTGGTGGTGGTGGTGATGGTGGTGATGGTGATGGTGATGATGGTGGTGCTGGTGGTGGTGATGGGGATGGTGATGATAGTGTGATGGTGATGGTGGTGGTGATGGTGGTGGTGGTGGTGGTTGTGATGGTGGTGATGGTGATGGTGGTGGTGGTCGTAGTGATGGTGGTGATGGTGATGGTGGTGGTGTTGGTGGTGATGATGGTGATGATGGTGATGGTGGTGATGGTGGTGGTGATGGTGGTGGTGATGGTGATGGTGGTGATGGTGGTGGTGATGGTGGTGGTGGTGATAGTGGTGGTGGTGATGGTGGTGATGGTGATGGTGATGGTGGTGGTGGTGATGGTGATGGTGGTGATGGTGATGGTGGTGGTGGTGATAGTGGTGGTGGTGATGGTGGTGACGGTGATGGTGGTGGTGATGGTGGTGGTGGTGGTGGTGGTGGTGATGGTGGTGATGGTGATGGTGGTGGTGGTCGTGGTGATGGTGGTGATGGTGATGGTGGTGGTGTTGGTGGTGATGATGGTGATGATGGTGATGGTGGTGATGGTGGTGGTCGTGGTGGTGGTGATGGTGATGGTGGTGATGGTGGTGGTGATGGTGGTGGTGGTGATGGTGGTGGTGGTGATGGTGGTGATGGTGATGGTGATGGTGGTGGTGGTGATGGTGATGGTGGTGATGGTGATGGTGGTGGTGGTGATAGTGGTGGTGGTGATGGTGGTGACGGTGGTGGTGGTGGTGATGGTGGTGATAGTGATGGTGGTGGTGGTGGTGATGGTGGTGATGGTGATGGTGATGATGGTGGTGCTGGTGGTGGTGCTGGGGATGGTGATGATAGTGTGATGGTGATGGTGGTGGTGATGGTGGTGGTGGTGGTGGTTGTGATGGTGGTGATGGTGATGGTGGTGGTGGTCGTGGTGATGGTGGTGATGGTGATGGTGGTGGTGTTGGTGGTGATGATGGTGATGATGGTGATGGTGGTGATGGTGGTGGTGGTGATGGTGGTGATGGTGGTGGTGATGGTGGTGGTGGTGATGTGGTGGTGGTGATGGTGGTGATAGTGATGGTGGTGGTGGTGGTGGTGATGGTGGTGATTGTGGTGATGATGGTGGTGATGGTGATGGTGATGATGGTGGTGCTGGTGGTGGTGATGGGGATGGTGATGATAGTGTGATGGTGATGGTGGTGGTGATGGTGGTGGTGGTGGTGGTTGTGATGGTGGTGATGGTGGTGGTGATGGTGGTGGTGATGGTGGTGATGGTATTGATGGTGGTGATGGTGATGGTGGTGATGGTGGTTGTGATGGTGGTGGTGATGGTGGTGATGATGGTGGTGGTGGGGTGATGTGACTCATACCCAGCCCCAAAGGGATGCTTCAAGACTGAAATCCACTCATAATGACAGCTCCCATAGCCACACTGAGAATGTAGTACATACCACACACGTGGGTTTGTCACACTTAACTGTTTGAAGGTCCTTTTCCTGCAGGGAACTTTCCACACGTGGCAGTGGCCGTTTCCCTCTGGGAGGCTGATTTGCCATAGGGCTTTACCATCCTTCTGGAGCCTCCATCCCCACCACACTGTGGGCTCTGCATTCTGTACGTGGGCGAGGCCCACAGCAGGGGCTGGCAGCCCTGGCTAACACACCCTGGTGGGGAGCAGATGGAGCGAGCCATCACCTCTCACCGTGTCCCTTCCACCTTGGCCTTCTGCCTCCCGTGCCACCAGCCTCCTTTGTCCCGGGCCGTGGGATTGCTGTGCAGCCCCCTGTACCCACACCCTCCTCTTCCTCATCCCGGGAGACCCTGCCCCGAAGCCCCTGCAGTGGGCAGTCTGCTGCCCCAGCCATGCAGCCCTACTTTTCCGCTGCTCACCTGTTGGTCGCAGGCCTGTCCACCGAAGTATAGACCTCCCTGTCTTGCTCCTCTAAATCCCAGCACCGCGCCTGACCGCTGGTGAGCCCCTCGCGTGTTTGCTGAATGAGTACTAAAACCAGGGCCAGCACTCATGGGGCTCCTCAGGAACTGCGCACCCCAAAATGAAAAACCCCTGGGGTTTGGGTACAGCCCGGGGCACCTGGGTGGGGCCATGTGGACGCAGCAGGCTGATTATGAAAGAGCCAGGCTCTCCGTGACATAGAGGCCCAGCCGCCCACGCGACACCAGGCAAGCTGAGAGCAATGGAACACAGTCGTGTGAAGAACTGGACGCTCGGTGGCCACAGCACAGGCAGCTTCCACCCTGGCTGTGCTGGTCCAACAGGTCCTTGTCACAGAGGCCCGGGGCGCTGCCTGAGGCTGAGCCCTGCTGTCCAGTGTCACCCCAGCCTGTGTCCGTGTCACTGAGAGCTTAGCGGACTGTAGAGCGCATGGGGCACCGCCGCTCACCACCTCCCAAAGGCACTGCGGCTGCCATGCTGGACAGGGGTCTCCATCACGGTAGACATTCCGCTCCCTGTGGCTCTGTGCCCAGCCCCTGGGGCTGACCCTGCCTTTGATCTCCCAAAGCTGCAGGCCTTTCTACCTGAGCTCTCAGAACCCAGGAACATGGCACACACCCTCGCCACAGTGTCCATCCTGCGCCCTATGGGTGTCCTGAGCCCAAGGCTGTGGTCACCAAGCACATAGCCACAAGTCGTCTCACTGGAGCCTTGGGAGGAGCTGGGACCCCCCGACCTGAAAGGAGCAGAGCCCTAAGCCCTGCTGCCCGGGCACCCCACTGGCACACACCCCAGCGTCCTGGCCTCCTCCTGGTCTGCTGCCTTGCCCATGGGGCCTCCGGGGCCTTGTCTCATCGTGGTGACCACACAGTGTGACCAGACACCGAGTCAGCAGGGTGGTGGGGACGTGGCTGCAGAACCCGGAAGCCGCATGTGTCGGGGCTCTGTGGCCCTGCCAGTGCCAGTGCCAGTGCCAGAGGTTACGGAGCCACCAGGCCTGCTCCTGAGCTGAAGACCCTGTGACCCCTGCCCACACTCCCAGTGCAGAAGCAAAAGGGGACCAGAGAGCCACAGAGCATCCTGGAGCAGGGGATGCCGGAAGGGAGGAGGGGAGCCCGCCTGGGAGGAGTTGAGACCCCGAGCAACGGGGCCCCGCACCCCAAATCTGCGGAGTGGCAGGGGCTTGCTCGCGAACAGATCATGGCTGTCTGTTTTTACCCAGCCTTCACCGCCCCCAGGGAGCAGGAGCCATGGGGTTGGGGTTCTCTTCTTAGTCCAAGGAGCAGCTCCCCGGGAACCCCGGTGTCCCACATGCACCAGACGAGGGCTCGGCTGCTCCAGGCGGCCTGGAGCTGGTGCTGTGACATCCGCACGCCGTCGGGACCAGGGCGGTTTTCTGTGTCACCCTGGGACAACACATCAGCCTTTGATAACCAGCCCTGAGCACCCCATCAACGGTCACTGCGTTTTAGGGAACACGGCTCTACAGTGCTCTTACACTGTGTGTCTTCAATTTGGTGCTTTTGCAAAACATCTCTTTTTATTCTGATCAGGGGCCCTCTCTGCCTCTCTGTCTCTGTCTCTGTCTCTGTCTCTGTCTCTCTGTTTCTGTCTCTGCCTCTCTGTCTCTGTCTCTGTCTCTGTCTCCCTCTCTGTCTCTCTGTCTCTCTCTGTCTCTGGCTCTGTGGCTCTCTGTGTCCCAGGATTGCTCTGGGTCAGAGTCTCCCTCGCACACCACCCACAGGAAAAGTTGAAACCTTGGCGCTGCCCATGGAGACCCAGACCCAGGCAGCAAGCACCCTGCCGGCCCCTGGCTGCCTCAGCCCTGCAGGAGACTGAGGCTCAAGCACCCATGGGCTCCCTTCTCTCCCTCATGACAAGCACCTCAAGCGGTGACAGCCGCCGCCTGCAGTCTGTGACACTGCACTCCCTCAGGGCACCGCCAGGTCAGGCAAGGGCCGTGCGTCTGGTATCATCGTGCACACGCGTGCACGCACACACACACACTCACACCTGCATGCATGCACACACACACCTCTTTAGTGCTGGGGACTGACCCCAGGGCCTTTGCCCAGAGCCGAGTCCCCCAGCATCCGCAGGGTCTTCCTCAGCCTCCCAGGTCGGGCCTGAATTTTCAGTCCTCCTGTCTCTGCCTCCAAGAACGCTGGGATTACAGTCACGCACCCCCTTACTCAGCATTTAACCCTCTTTTATGAAAGCAAAAAGCACACACACCTAGGAAGGAGGCACAGGAAACCCTTGGGGTCATTTACCACTGGCCTGGAACTTTCAGAATGGTGAAAACGTCCAGATTTTCTTTTCTTTTCTTTTCTTTTTTTAATCCATTGTTTTTCAAGTAGAAAAAGAAAAAGGAAAAACTAAAACAAAATTTCAAAACACGTCGATCAGGGGTTTTCTTTTCTGCACTTCTCTGTCATCTACGGTTTTGCGTACACACATAGCTTTTCTGTACCCCTGTCACATTTCTGTGCATTGTTCTGTAAAAACTGGCAGGAGAGACCGTCTGTGAACCACTGCACCCCGAGTGCTGGATTGGATGCTGAAAGTTGTACAAGAATAAAAAAAGGGCTAGTGGGTGTGGAGGCGCACAGCTGTGATCCCAGCACTCTGGGAGGCTGAGGCAGGAGAGTCTCTTGTTTGAGCTCGGCTTGGGCAGCTCAGTAAGGTAGTGAGCCCCTGTCTTACAAGATAAAAATAAAGAGCTGAAAATGTGGCTCCATGCAAAGGTCCTGGGTTCAACCGCCAGTTCCACAAAAAAATAAAAATGAAAAAGAACGAGAAGCGATGCCAAAGGCTGCTGCCCCGTAGCTGTGCCCCTCAGCTGTGTGCCCAGCATGCTGCCCGCACCCGGCCAATAAACAGGACTTTGCAGTGGGTTTTGCTGTTCTGCTTTGCTCAGAGCGACCACAAAACCCAAAGGGGCACCAGGCCGGTGCAGCAGGGCTCGGCTCAGGAGCTCTCACACGGGCTTTGTCCTGAGGGACTGCTGCCTGGGGGTCCCCGACTGAGCCCCTGGGTGGAGCCAAAGGTGGAGGAGCATCCAGGACCGAGGGAAGGGGTGCAGGACACGGGACCAGGCTCGAGCTGAGGCCTCCATGGGGTACACGGGCTGGGCAAGGCTGGGGGCCGGAGAATGGGACCTTTGGGGGTGACTGGGGTTCTGACCCGAGAGGGCTGTGTGGGACTCAGAGCGGGGAGGGGTTGGCACTTTGTCCCTCATCTGTGAGCCCAAAGAATGATTGCAAACCCTCCCAGCTCGTTTCCCTGAGTGGCTCCGTTTTGCAATTCCCAAGCTGGCCCCAAACTCGAAGCAATCCTCCTGCCTCAGCTTCCTGAATGCTAGGATTTCAGGTGCACCCCACCCTGCATGCCCTGTAGAGCTCAGGGGTTTTTTTTAATAAAAAGCACGGCCATGGTAGCCTTCCAGGCTGGCCTATTTATCCTTCACCCTATAAAAGAGGAATGCCAGTGAGACAAAGATCAGAAAGGGTTCCACCCGAGTCCCAGCGGTTCCTGAGAGGACTGAGGAACCAGGTGTCCCAGCTCAGGCCTGCGGGCGTGCTGGAAAGCACCCGCGGGAAGGGCACTTTCAAAGTGCAGCCCAGCAGATGACTCAGGGGACCCAGACTCCCGGACACAGCTGTGCCATTTTCTGACTCAAAGTTGGTTTGTTTGGGAACAGACACCATCTACAACTTCGGTTTTAGATTGTCCATCCCCATGTCCTTGGGCTAGCTGTGGCTTTGTGTTTCTAAGTTCACTTTGGCAACACAGGGGTTCAGGGGGCCCCAGCTGCGCCTGGCGGGGATCACACCACTGAGCCTCCCTGGCCAGTGCCTCGGGCTCCACGGAGGACTCCATGTCCGGCGGTGGGGTTTGTGCACTGCGCAAGCTCGGGGTTTTCGTGTGGAGCTGGAACAGCTGCTCCCCCCGGGCAGGAGCCAGGCATCTCTTTCTTTGTATAGAAGATGTACACTCAGTGTGCCGAGCCTGGGTCTGCCTGCCCAGGTGCTGCCAGAGGGCACCTCTTAGGATTCATCTTCCAGGAAGGGACCCTCCCAGTTCCCA